CTACATCTATCTATCTATCTATCTATCTATCTATCTATCTATCTATCTATCTATCTATCTATCTATCTATCTATCTATCTATCTATCTCCATCCATCATCTATCTATCTATCTATCTATCTATCTATCTATCTATCTATCTATCTATCTATCTATCTATCTATCTATCTATCTATCTATCTATCTACCTACCTACCTACCTACCTACCTACCTATCTCCATCCATCATCTATCTATCTATCTATCTATCTATCTATCTATCTATCTATCTATCTATCTAGCCATCCAGCCATCATCCATCCATAGATAGATAGATAGATAGATAGATAGATAGATAGATAGATAGATAGATAGATAGATAGATAGATAGATAGATAGATAGATAGAAGAGAGAGAGAGAATAGATAGATTTAACTAGCAGATTGTTATGATAAAAAGGGACATATAGTACAAACACTGTTTTCTCAATCATGTGAGCTGGTAAAATAATTATTGTACAATACTGGAAAATAGATGAGATACCGAAAGATTTAGCTGATTTTCACAAATATATTATTTTACTGATATATGGTTCAAAAAAAAGGAACACACAGTACACAATAAAAGCAAACAGCCAAGGCAGATTGTTTACTTTTAATACCTTTAGGTATTTTCACCACCAAATAGCCTCCAAAGAATAAGGTTTAAGCCTAGAACCTCTATTATGGAAACAGAAATCAAACAGAACTGTGCTACATTCCTGCTGCTTTAGGTGTTACAGTTTGTTGATATGGGGCCTTTGTCAATATTTGATTTAGGTTTTTTTTTAGAAACACACACACACACACAAGCCCAGGAAAAAGACTTTCAAGGAATAAGGTCAAGACCAGGCAGGTTGTCCTGGTTATAACAAAATATCAGGGTGTTTCCTATCCTTTTGGCTTATCCAAATTTCTGTTCCCTTGACACACAATGCAATTCAAGGTTGTTGATTAGTTTAACTATGCATCTATTGCAATATGAAAAATAAGAAACTCTTTCTGTAGTTACTATAGCTACATAATGAGCCATGGCGGTGCAGTGGTTAGAATGCAGTATTGCAGGCTAACTCTGCCCACTGCCAGGAAGTTCGATCCTGACCGGCTCAAGGTTGACTCAGCCTTCCATCCTTCCGAGGTCAGTAAAATGAGGAGCCAGATTGTTAGGGGCAGTAGGCTGACTTGTAAACCACTTAGAGAGGGCTGTAAAGCACTGTGAAGTGGTATATAAGTCTACGTGCTATTGCTATTCCTTCCTTCCCTCCTTCCCTTCCTTCCTTCCTTCCTTCCCTCCTTCCCTTTCCCTCCTTCCTTCCTCCTTCCTTCCTTCCCTCCCTCCCTTCCTTCACACCCTCCCTTTCCTCCACCTTTCCTCCCTCTCTCTTTTCCTTCCTTCCTTCCTTCCTTCCTTCCTTCCTTCCTTCCTTCCTTCCTTCCTTCCTTCCTTCCTTCCTTCCTTCCTTCCTTCCTTCCAAGTGGTTAGAATGCAGTATTGCAGGCTAATTCAGCTCACTGCCAGGAGTTCGATTCTGACCGGCTCAAGGTTGACTCAGCCTTCCATCCTTCCAAGGTCGGTAAAATGAGGATTGTTGGGGGCAACAGGCTGACTCTGTAAACCGCTTAGAGAGGGCTGTGAAGCACTGTGAAGCAGCATACAACTCTAATTGTTATTGCTATTGCTACATAGACAATAAATGGGGACTTTCATGCCATTTTCAGTGTGTTCTGCAGTCCCCATCCTTTTTAAAGGAGAAGGTAACTCAAGGAATTGAATATCTCAAACCCTTCGCAAATGTGCAAAACTGGCTGCTCGGTTATTTCATTTGGTGGGGTGTCGACATTTGGGGTGTCGAAAAAAGGGAGAGCTTCTCACTGTGAACTCTAATGAAACACTTTTTTATTTTATAGTGGCCAAAACATTTCCCATTCTGCTATTTCTTTAATCTAACCTAATTGGGCTGGAATTTTTTTGGAGGGCGAGGGGATCATGACATTGAGGCGAAAAATTATTTTATATTCTTTTTATCTTTTTTTCCCCTTACGCCTAAATAAATACATTGTATTTTTTTTTCTAAAAAGGACTTTGATAAGTGTCCATGTATTCTCAGGAAAATGTATTTTTCCATGGTATTTTTTTAGAATCATTCGTCCATTCATTCATTTAATATGCCGCCTCTGACCAACAAGGTGACATTAAGCGGCATATAAATTTAATAATAAAAAAAATACAAGATGCACCTTTAATTTAATTCTAAGGCTATTTGCTCTCCGCTCCTTAAACCTATGCTTAGGTTGCCTATATACAATGTCCTCTGGCTGTTAGAAACGTGGAGAATTTCATGACTTAATCTGGGTGAGAAATGTTTTAAGATCCAATCTTCCGAACTTTTGGACTTGTGCTAGACCCATCTTCAGAGAACTTCTCTCTACAGGAATATATGCTTTGGGCTATTCTATGAGTCGTATTTATGTGGTGGCTTCCTATTGGTTGATTGGTGTGTTGATGGACGGCCATTGGTGGTTGTTTCCTTGTACTGCCAAGCCCTCAGTTCCTAAGGACCTGATAAGCTGGTGATAAATGACTGACAAGGGGGCCGTTTACCAGGCTCCCACCATTTCCCTGGCTGTTTTTGTACCTGCACAGCCGACAATCTTAGTAGCTGTGAAATTGAATGTAGACCCTTCTTCACTGCAATGTGAGGCTACCAATGAGTTTGAATCTCCTCATCGGACCGCCCACTTGCGTTCTTGCAATCTGGTGGTTAGCTTCCTAATGTTATAAGAGATTGCAATGCTTAGTAATCAAACTACTGTTTGTTTTCTTTCTTCCGCGTGAACCGGTCACTTCAGAACTTTATTTCACTTGAAGGGGGAAATTATTTTCTGTCTTTATTTTTTTTTTTAATGCTCATTCTCAAGCCCTGGAATACATACGTATTCCTGATAAAGTTCTAAAATAAAACAGTAAAAAGGTCTAGCATCTTACCAAGATAGAATCAGGACAGATAAGAAAGGAAGACCAACATACCTTCTTTAATTTTTCTCTCAATAAACAGCTTGGAAGGGTTGAAGGAAACCATGTATAAATTATCATAAAGGAAGGACAGTAAGGGCGAATCGGGAGAGGAAATGGTGTTGGCGTGGCCATCGCAGTTGGAAAAATCTGTAAAGTAATGGAGAACTGTTAGTTGTGGAAGTAAAATTTCATGTCAACATTGCTAATGTTGGACGTTCTTGCTTTGACAACATATGAAGATGGAGCCTTTTTATTTCTTATGCTTCACTCTTAGAATTAGAGTCAGTGGTTCTCAACCTTTTTAATGCCGCGACCCCAACCGGTCGTAAGTCGAGGACTAAACCGGTCGTAAGTCGAGGACTAAACTGGTCGTAAGTCGAGGACTAAACCGGTCGTAAGTCAAGGGCTACCCAACCGGTCGTAAGTCGAGGACTTTCCCTTCCCGGGAGCACCGTGCATGCGTGGTTCTGCCCCCTGCACCGGCCGAGGCGTAGCTGGCAAGCGGCAGAGACAGAGCAGGCCGACCACCAGCTGGCCCAGCGCAAGGGAGGTAAGGCACCCGCCAGAAAAGGGGGAAAAATGGCGGACAAAAAAAATGGTGGACAAAAAAAATGGCGGACAGCCTTGCTTGGCGACCCCCATGAAATGGTCGATCGACCCCAAATGGGGTCCCGACCCACAGGTTGAGAACCACTGAATTAGACAATGCTGGGGAGGAGGCGGAATGTGGTGGGAGTTAGTTAGACATAACAATATTGTACTAGTGTGTGAAATAAGAGATTATAAGAATTGACCGGTAGCAGAACTGGAGGGAAAGCCTGCATTTCAAGCTAATTGAACAATGTGATTTATGACTGTTAATTGGAGGAGGGAATTGTGCTTTGATACTATGTGCTCAGGGGAGGGAATTGTGCTTTGATACTATGTGCTCAGGGGAGGGGAATCCAGCTTTTGGCTTCAACTATGCTAGTGCTGAAGCTATGCTACTCCCATAAAGATTCTTTAAGGTAAACAATGCCTCGAAGTTCTTTGAAGAGCTTCATCTGTGGGAACCATGACATTTCAAACTATTGAGATTACTTTCTCTGAAGAGCAGAAGCTAGAATATCTAGGTTGATGCACAGTCAGATCTACTTAGCATTTGGTTTCAGTACTCAGGAAATAGAACACAAAACATAGAATAATCGAGTTGGAAGGGACCTGGTACAAAATATGGTGGCCCTCATGTGTCACATTTCCATGTGCGTCACCTCTCTTGCAGGAGCTACATTGGCTGCTGACTTGCTTCTAGATCCAATTCAAGATGCTGGCTATCACCTTTAAAGCCCTCCATGGCCTGGGCTCAAGTTATCCGAAGGATTGTTTTTTTCCCAGTCATATACCTGGCCCACAAGAGTGGGGAGACAGGAGATATTATGGATCTCCTCTCTTAGGGAGGTCCATCTAGAAGAAGGACCTTCTCCATGGGGGCTCCCTCCCTGTGGAAAATCATCCCTGTGGAGATAAGATTGGCCTCCATCTTGACACTCTTTCCAAAGGCCCTGAAGACCTGGTTCTGCCAATGGGCCTGGTGATCAAGTGTCTATGGAGATTCTCAGTCATCCAGGTCATGGTTGTCCCAAAGATGCTTTTTTTCACGAGGCAGCTGGACTTCCTTGTTTTTCTTTGAAGACATTTCGCTTCTTATCCAAGAAGCTTCTTCAGCTCAGGATTTGGAGTATAAATCCTTCTGTTCTCCACCATCCAATCAGAGCTGAAGAAGCTACTTGGATGAGAAGTGAAACATCTTCAAAGAAGAACAAGAAAGTCCAGTTGCCTCTTGAAAAAGGGCAGCCCATTGAGTGGTTGATCTGATTGCTTTCACTAGGGGAATGGGGGCATATTGGATTTTGTATTGAGGTTTGTTTTTGTAGGACAACCCAGATTCACTGTGACCGGGGTTCTCCTATACATTTTCTTCATACAGAAATAATAAATGCTTGCTCCCTTACTTGTGGGCCTCTGCTAACCTGAAATCGGTGTTCACTGAATTATACACAAACACAGCCCCTATTCAAACTATATAATATCCACACTACCTGAAAACCATACCTGAAAACTTATTGTGGTGGAGGAATTCCATTTGCAATCTCTGCCCAGATTTTTTGGCTAACAAATATGGGGTGCTGAACATGGGGTCTCCAGTTGCGCACATCACGTCTGCTCCACTAAACAACAACATCATGGTCTCTAATACATCCATCTTAATAACTGCAGCACAGAGCGCCTGATCATAAAAATGAAAAGTACGGGTCAACATCCAGCTCGGAGATCCAAATTAAAGTCCAGGTTCATTCCGTTTCTGAAAATCTTATTTTTTTATTGAATACACGGCATGGAAATGTCGAAGCAAAATTAACTCTGAGGTTCCCAGACACCAGTTCATGTAAACAATTTCACTTTGTTATGGGAACTGCCTGCTTCCTCTCTACACCTGCTGCAGTGTCCTTGGAAAGCGGTCAGGTTTTCACAATCTTCAGCAGAATCATGGAGGTTTCATTTCTCTCCATCTATCCCATTCTAAAGCAACACCTCCCACCCACCCCCTTTACTCTAACGGCAAGTTGAAACAAAGAGGCATGTAGCTGCCAAAGTTTCATTCTTGTCAGTATGAGCTATATGCGGAATGCCAAAGTAGAAGAGATTGATGTTTCTTAATTGAATGGGGGGCAGCTCGCAAAGACAAGAGTGAGCATACAAAAAAGAGTTCTAGTCACCAAGGTGCTCTCAATTGCCTAACCCCAGACCTCTGTGTGCATAAGGTGTGTAGTTCTGGACAATGGTTCAGATTTTACAGGGTCCTTGATCAAGCAGAGAAGGTTGTCGAGAGGAATAGGTTGGATTTTGGCTTCCCAATATGATTGCATCTGTCCCCTGGCATTGTTGTTTGTGTCAGGATAATAATTTAATAGCTAAACAGCTTATGTAAAGATGTAATGTAATGTGGATGATGCAATGATAGGATGATGCAATGATAGAAATGACTCAGCAGGGTCTGTGTCTGTCCCTTTAAGAGTAAGCAGAGACTGTATCCCTTTAAGAGTCTAAGTATAAAAGGGATTTTTTTTTGCTGGAGTCTTTCTCTCATCTGTTTGACTGCTGTAACTGCTGTGTATTTGAGTTTGCTGTTTCACCACGTCTATGTATTTTATTTCTAATGTATATTTGTAGATACAGTGTAGTATAAACCACATTTAATTTACTCCTGGGTTACCTCAGCACAATAAGACTATGTATGCTCTGACAGTTTGTCATCCGAAGAAGATACAGGTGGTCCCCGTCTTATGACCATAATTGAACCCAGAACTTATGACCCCAAATTATTCCCATCCTCAGCATTACCTTATTTAACTCCTCCTTGGTTTTAGACAGCAGCGTAATTTTTCGGAATTTTCCTTCTTTATATTTTTGGGTAATAAAAGTTAGCCTCCTGTCAGCTGGGGCATCTACTTGTAACTTTTCATCCGGTTGAAGATTTCCTTCCCAAAAGCTGTTGGCTCTTTCATTGCCTATCACAATAAAAAGCTGGAAAAGAATGGGGAACTCATCAAACTTGCAGATGACACCAAGCTGGAATAGCCAACACTCCAGAAGACACGCTTAAGATACAGAAGGATCTTGACAGACTTGAACATTGGGTGCTATCTAACAAAATGAAATTCAGTAGTGAAAAAAGTAAGGTTCTACGTTTAGGCAAGAAAAACCAAATGCACAGGTATAGTTTAGGAGGTACATTGCTCAATAGTAGCAACTGTGAGAGGGATATGAGCCGGCAGTGTGCTGCAGCTGCCAAAAAAGCCAACACAGTTCTAGGCTGCATTAACAGAGGGATAGAATCAAGATCACGTGAAGTGTTAATACCACTTTACAATGCGTTGGTGAGGCCACACTTGGAATACGGCATCCAGTAGACAACGGATGGAAACTAACCAAGGAGAGAAGCAACCTAAAACTAAGGAGAAACTTCCTGACAGTGAGAACAATTAACCAGTGGAACAACTTGCCTCCAGAAGCTGTGAATGCTCCAACACTGGAAGTTTTTAAAAAGAGACTGGACAGCCATTTGTCTGAAAGGGTATGGGGTTTCCTGCCTGAGCAGGGGGTTGAACTAGATGACCTCCAAGGTTCCTTCCTATTCTATTATTATCATTCTCATTCTCATTATTATTATTATTATTATCATCATCATCATTATTGTTGTTGTTGTTGTTATTATTATTATTATTATTATTATTATTATTATTATTATTATTATTATTATTATTGAAAAGCAGTTAATCAGAGGCAAAACTGAAATTAAAGGAGCTTGGAAAGGAACCCCCTTTTTATTTTTTGAATAGATTTTTATTTTACTCAGAAAATTGAAGCAAAATACAAGGAGCCCTCAACTTACGCCTGCAACTGACCCCAACATTTCTGTTGCTAAGTGGAACATTTGGTAAACGAGCTTTGCCTCATTGTATAACTTTTCCTGCCACAGAGTGCTTTTGGTAAATCAGCACTCCTGTTGACTGACAAGAGGCCTGTTTCCCAGGCTTCAATCACTTCCCTTGCTGTTTTTGTGCCTGCTCGTCCAACAATCTTAGTAGCTGCAAAAATGAATGTATGCCTTGTTCACTGCAGTATGAAGATACCAATGAGTTCAGGTCTCCTTGCCTGACTGCTCCCCTGATTGCAGCACAAGGAAACAACAGCCAACAATTTTAATAGCCAGCCATCAACACCTAAAAAGCCACATACAACAGGCACCATGTAAATACCACACACACAGAATAGCCCAAAAAGACACATTCTGGTAGAGAGAAGTTCCCTCAGAATGGGCTCCAGTACAAGTCCAAAAGCTTTGAAGATTAAATGCTGTGGTCCCAATAACCAATTCAGATTGGATCCTGCAGGAATCATCTTTTTTTCCCAGCTGGGAGTGGTGGGTTCCAATATGCTCCGAGCCATAGCTGCATCCTTTCAGGATGTAAGATTGGATCAAACCTCATCTTTTGAATCACTTTGAAGTTTTTTACTTTTCTTAGTACTCATTTAATAACAATAAGAATTGTATTTGCTTAATGTGGAAAAATGCTTATCACAGGAAGAAGAGAGAGAGGTATCAGATGGTGTAATATTGGACTTAGTTTGAAGAAGCTTATATGTGCCACGGAATTACTAATGGACCCATTCAACACGTTGTCTATTAAGCGCTTGTTTGTAAGAACAGAAAATTAATAAAATATTTATAAAAGACTGAAAAATCTTCAGAACCACAAGTCTGGGTGCTGGTTGGGTGGAAATTCTCTTCAATCCGTTTCAAAAGAAAGGCAATCCCATATTTCCTGCTTTGTAAGATCTTTTTTCTCTTTCTTTCTTTCTTTCTTTCTTTCTTTCTTTCTTTCTTTCTTTCTTTCTTTCTTTTTCTTTCTTCTTTTGTAATTTCTTGCAATATGCAGCAAAGAGGTGATTTCAGAGTTGTTTCTATGAAGCTTTGTAAATGCTAAGGCTTTGTGAAATTGACCTAAAGAGAGGCTTTGAAGTTAATTAGAAAGAACCTCTTGTGTGGGGAAAAAAAAAATCTGTCTTGTTTACACATCAATTGTAAAACGAGACTTTGAAGGTTGATTACTAGAGTACAAGATGGTTACTTTAAAGGAAAGGTTTGATTTGTGAAGTGGTCGAACTTTTACGGTCTTTATTGGAACCAAAAAGTTACTACTGAAGATGAACAGAGACCTCTGGAGAAAATTGAGATGGATTCTAAACGTAGATTTTCAAATTACAATTTAAAAGAACAAGATGGAACTGTCGGATTTACAGATACAATTGGATGATCATTTAAAAATGGAAAATGATGTGCAGATAATGTATCACAACAACAACATGGACTACCCTTTTAGGTTGAGATATAAGTGATTTGCTGGAGACACTTTGTAGAAATTACAAGTGGATTCGAATGGTGATAAGAATTTCAAAAGATGAGGCAGAGATATTAGACAAAAAAAGGACTCAGAATTTTATTTATGAGACTTAAGAATGCTTGGCAGGAAGAAAAAAAATATAAAACTGATCTAATTATGGTTAACAATTTCTTATTTCTGCTGATTCTTACTGCTTATTTGGACTTTTTCCTTTGGAAAATGTGTAATCTCTGCAATCTTTCTAGAGTCTTTATACCATGGTAACCAAAACTGGATGCAATATTCCAAGTGTGGCCTTACCAAGGCATTGTGGAAATAAAAATCTTCATCAGGGTCCAGTCCAAGCTGGGAATAATCAAAATGGAGACTGCTTTAGAAAGAAGGTTGCAGTTTATTGCAGAGGAGAGCCAGACAGAAAGATGGCTCTGGGAAAAAAACTGACCATATGTAGTAGGGAGTGGGTTTTTATACCTTCTTGGGCTTTTGTTTGGAGTTGTTCCTGTGGCATAAACTTTGACCTGAGTCTGAGTGTGCCTTTCTGGTATTCTGATGGTGGTGGGTTAATCCTATTATGTCCCAAAGGTCATATCCTGCTTCCCTGGGGCTGTGGCTCATGACTGTTGGATTTTTTGGTGTGAGGGATTGTTGATTCTATGGACCTTTCTATGTAATCCCAGTTTCCTGACTCCAATCTTTCTGACAAGATTATCACATCTGCATTTCTGCAGACCTGGTTTCTGTCTGGGGCAGAGAGATTGGGGGGGGGGGTTGGTTTCTGCCTTTAAGATCTTTTGGGGAAATATAATATTCTGCCTTTTTAATATTTCTCAAAATATTTCTTTCTCTGGATTCTTCCCACAGCATTATAAAACAGTACTAACACTTCTTGTGATCTTGATTCTATCCCTCTGTTGATCCAGCCTAGGATTGTATTAGCTTTTTTGGCAGCTGCAGGACGTGGCTGGCTCATGTTTAAGTGATCATCTGTGATCATCTGCTAGGACCACTAGTTGTTGTAAAATAGGCAATGAAATGTCATGAATTCCCAAGTCAAATTGACTTCTCCTGCTCTTCTTTGTCCATGGTCTCCTTTCCTACCTCGATGAGTTCGTTGGTCCAAACGCTGGCATCCATTTTGAGACTTCGCACCTTTGAATCTCTGGGTCCTAACGATCTGTGCTGTCCTGTGAAAAACAGAAAAAAAAACTTGCTTGAAGGTTAGTAAAAGAGGAGAGGAATTTGAAGGCAAGTAAACCCAAACAGCCCTGAAATAAGCTTGTTGCCAAACTGGCTCAGGAGGATCCCGAGAGTTGCTCAATTACCTGCACACTTCTTGCAAATGATGACGCAGAGATTGATGGACGCCCAGTCAGGATCAGGAGCTTTACAATCAGCACAACTTCGGTTTGATTCATTGAACCAGATCTTCTCAGCTACTTCATAGTCAGAGAGAGTTTCTGCAATGGACTGCTGGAGGGCTTCTATCCAATCCTGCTTGTCTTTCTCAGATTCGGCAGTAAAGCTGAAATGCATCAATTTAGAGGCAGTTTGGATCTAGCGTAGGGGTGTCCAAACTTGGCAACTTTTAAGACTTGTGGACTTCAACTCCCAGAATTCCTCAGCCACTCCCAGAATTCCTCAGCCAACCTGTGGACTTCAACTCCCAGAATTCCTCAGATAGAATATGGACTCTAACTCCCAGAATTTCTCAGCCAGCATGTGAATTCAGCTCCCAGAATTCCTCAGCCAGCATGAGAATTCAATTCCCAGAATTCCTCAGCCAGCATATGGACTTCAACTCCCCGAATTCCTCAGCCAGCATGCGAATTCAGCTCCCAGAATTCCTTAGATAGAATGTGGACCTCAACTGCCAGAAGTCCTCAGCCAGGATGCGAATTCAACTGCCAGAATTCCTCAGCCAACATGTGGACTTCAACTCCCAGAATTCCTCAGACACCATGACTGGCTGAGGAATTCTGGGAGTTGAAGTCCACAAGTCTTAAAGTTGTCAAGTTTGGAGAGCCCTAGGTCTAGTGGCTAAGGCACCAGTTTATAGTTCTAATCCTGCCTTAGACACAAACCAAGTTGGGCAATCTTAGGTCAGTTCTTCTCTCAGCCCTGGGGAGAAGACAGCAATTGCAAACCACTTCCAAAATCTTGCCAAGGAAACTGTCCAGGAAATCACCAGAAGTCAAGACTGATTTGAAAGCAATAAATAAATAAAATCTGGAACAGTTTCACGAAGAGTGTGACATCAGAAGAACCAATGACTTTTCATTCAACGGGTTTGTCTATGGAGATTCTCACTCGTCCAGATTATAGTTGGCCCAAAGGTGTTTTTCCAAAAG